CCTTCTTAAACCAGTTACCAATTTTACAAACCGGTCAAAGGACTATTTTGAGAAGATGGGGGTAAAAGTTGCGATTATTTCTAGAATACGCAAAGGTGGGATTATTTAGAGCAGAAGTGAAAAAGGTGGGATTATTCATTTCAATTTTTCCTTTTGAATAAAATGAAAGTGAAACACATTGAAACAAAGCTTTTTGAATTGAATGAAAGTCAAATGCATTTAACGGAGCTAATTGAATAAAAAAAAAAGTCAAACACATTCAATAAAAGCCTTTTGAATCAAATGAAAGTCAAAAACATTTAAACAAAGCTTTTTGAATCAAAAGAAAGTCAAAAACATTCATACAAAGGTTTTTCATCAAATGAAAATCAAACTCATTCAAACGAAGCTTTTTAAATCGAATGAAATCAAATACATTCAACGAAGCTAATTAAATCAAATGAAAGTCAAACAAATTCAAACAAAGTTTTTTAAGTCAAATGAAAGTCAAATATATTAAAAATAAGCTTTTTGAATCAAATGAAAGTCAAATGCATTCAACGAACCTAATTGAATCAAATGAAAGTTAAACACATTAGAACAAATATTTAGAATTAAATGAAAGTCAAACACATTTAAACAAGGATTTTTAAATCGAATGAAAGTCAAATGCATTCGACAAAGCTGATTGCATCAAATCAAAGTCAAACACATTCTAACAAATCTTTTTGAATGAAAGAATAGTCAAACACATTAAAACAAAGCATTTTTAATCAAATGAAAGCAAAACACATTCAAACCAAGCTTTTATAATTGAATGAAAATCAAATACATTTAGCAAAGCTAATTGAATTATATGAATATAACATGCATTCAACGAAGTTAATTGAATTAAATGAAAGTCAAACACATTCAAACAAAGCTTTTTGTATCAAACGAGAGTAAAACACATTTAAACAAGGCTTTTTTAACCAAATGAAAGTTAAACACATTCGAACAAAGCATTTGAAATCGAATGAAAGTCAAATGCATTCAACGAAACTAACTGAATCAAATGAAAGTCAAACACATTCAAACAAAGCTTTTTTAATCAAATGAAAGTCAAACATTGTAACAATTCTTTTTGAATCAGATGAAAGTCAAACATATTCAAACAAAACTTATGAAATCAAATTAAAGTCAAATAGATTAAAACAAACCTTTTTTAACAAATGAAAGTAAAACACTTTCAAAAAAAGCTTTTTGAACTGAATAAAAGTTAAATGCATTCAATGAAGCTAAATGAATCAAATGTAAGTCAAGTACATTCAAACAAAGCTTTTTGAATCAAATGAATGTCAAACACAATCAAACAAAACTTTTTGAATCAAATGAAAGTAAAACACATTCACACAAATCTTTTTTAATCAATTGAAAGTCTAAAACATTAAAAATTAGTTTTTTGAATTAAATGAAAGTCAAATACAAAGCTTTTTAAAACAAATGAAAGTCAAACACATTCAAACGAAGCTTTTTAAATTAAATGAAAAAAAATACATTCAACGAAGCTAATTAAATATAATGAAATTAAAACACATTCAAACAGTGCTAATTAAATAAAATGAAAATCAAACACATTCAAACAAAGCTTTTTTAATCAAATGAAAATCAAACACATTGAAAAGTAGCGTTTTGAATAAAAATGAAAGTCAAACACATTCATACAAAGCTTTTAGAATCAAATGAAAGTCAAGCACATTCAAACAAAGCTTTTGAATAAAATGAAAGTCATACACATTAAAACAAAGCTTTTTAAATTGAATGAAAGTTGAATGCATTTAACAAAGATAATTGAATCAAATTAAAGTAAAACACATTCAAACAAAGTTTTATGAATCAAATGAAAGTCAAACCCATTAAAATAAATCTTTTTCAATCAAATGAAAGTTAAACTCATTCATACAAAGCTAATTGAATCAAATAAAAGTAAAACACATTCAAACAAAGCTTTTTTAATCAAATGAAAGTCAAACACATTTAAACGAAGCTTTTTGAATGAAATGAAAATTAAATACATTCAACGAAGCTAATTAAATCAAATGAAAGTCAAACACATTGAAACAAAGCTTTTTGAATCAAATAAAAGTCAAACACATTCAAACAATTCTTTTTGTATTAAATGAAAGTCAAATGCATTAAACGAAGCTAATTGAATTAAATGAAAGGCAAACACTTTAAAACAAAGATTTTTGAAACAAATGAAAGTCAAACACATTTAAACAAAGCTTTTTGAATAAATGAAATTCAAATGCATTCAACGAACCTACTTGCATTAAATGAAATTCAAATGTATTCAAACAAATCTTTGAATAAAGGGAAAGTCAAACACATTTAAACAAAGTTAATTAAAACAAATGAAATTCAAACAAATTCAAACAAAACTTTTTTAATCAAATGAAAGTCAAACACATTCAAACAAAGCTTTTTGAATCAAATGAAAGTCAAACACATTTAAACAAGGATTTTTAAATCAAATGAAAGTCAAATGCATTTAACAAAGCTGATTGCATCAAATCAAAGTCAAACTGTTGTTTTAATGAATACTACAAGAAGGGGGGGTTGAATTGTAGTATGAGAATTTAGCCTAACTTTTTGCAGAATTAAACTTAAGTTAGCTAAAGGAACTAAGAGATTAATCTAAAGGAACTAAATAATGCAAGAGAGATTTTACATGGAAAACTCCATGGCCCTAACAAGTAGAAAAACCACGACCACTTGGGATTTTGGGAAAAGAATCTTCACTATAATAGGGCAAATGATCCTATTACAAGCTAAATACTCAAACTCAAGTTCCTCTACGAACTTGAGACCCTGAGGAACAAGTCACCCAACTTGTTACTCTTCTCTTCTCTTTCTCTCTTCTCACTTCTCTGTTCTCTCTTCTCTTTCTCTTCTCTTTCTCTTCTCTTTCTCTTCTCTCTCTCTCTTCTCTTTCTCTTCTCTCTCTCTCTTCTCTTTCTCATACACAAACGTTCACTTGAACTTCCCCATTCCCAATTACAACTCAAAAGAAAAACAAACTTTAGTATAAGAACATTTAGAACACTCTAATATACTTGTATGGAATTGGACTCTTAACTCGAATAAAAGATGAAAACTTATGTGAGAAAAGGGTGAGTTTTTCCATCTGAAATCAACAATTATTTATAGACCAAAATTTGTTTAGGAAAAACTTATTTGTGCAGCAAATCCATTACGCCACTTCTCATACCCACTAAGAAGATCATGTCCCTAAAATTAAGGGACCACGAACACCTCAATGAGCAAGACCATGTCTAGAAGAAGAACATGGGAGAGTAGGCCGCAAGTTTAGAGAAAACGTGGAGATTTTATTTTGTCAAAAACATTTTCCGAAACTCAGAAAAAGAAAATAAAATTTTTTTAATTTAAGAAAAAGATAAACTTTAAATTGCAACAGTTTTCCTAAAAACTAGCATGCACAATATTTTATCCTAAGACCAATTCCATACTGATTTTTCGAGTGTAACTAACTTTCTTATACTTACATAAATCCTAAGATATATAAAATATTTAGTCTTTATGTTTCTCTGATGAAGCTTCTACTCCGAGGCTTCTGTTCCTTGGAAGGAACTTCTCTTCTCCAGTCTTCATTTCTGAAGCGCCAGTTCCTGTGAGGGAACTCTTCTCTATGGCTAGCTCTGCTTCTGGCCTTCTTGTTCCTCATGGTATTTTTACAAGACACTTCATTCTCCTAGTCTTCGTAACTGAGTACACACTTAAACAATCAAGCTCTTATTAGTTTGTAAGTAAGTGAGGTTGTGTCATCATCAAAATTATTAAGTCCAACACAAACACATTCTAAAAAATATTTTTGAATGAAAGAATAGTCAAACACATTAAAACAAAGCATTTTTAATCAAATGAAAGTGAAACACGTTCAAACCAAGCTTTTATAATTGAATGAAAATCAAATACATTTAGCAAACCTAATTGAATCATATGAATATAATATGCATTTAACGAAGTTAATTGAATTAAATGAAAGTCAAACACATTCAAACAAAGCTTTTTGTATCAAACGAGAGTAAAACACATTTAAACAAGGCTTTTTTAACCAAATGAAAGTTAAACACATTCGAACAAAGCATTTGAAATCGAATGAAAGTCAAATGCATTCAACGAAACTAACTGAATCAAATGAAAGTCAAACACATTCAAACAAAGCTTTTTTAATCAAATGAAAGTAAAACATTGTAACAATTCTTTTTGAATCAGATGAAAGTCAAACATATTTAAACAAAACTTATGAAATCAAATGAAAGTCAAACAGATTCAAACAAACCTTTTTTAGCAAATGAAAGTAAAACACCTTCAAAAAAAGCTTTTTGAACTGAATAAAAGTTAAATGCATTCAATGACGCTAAATGAATCAAATGTAAGTCAAATACATTCAAACAAAGCTTTTTGAATCAAATGAATGTCAAACACAATCAAAAAAAACTTTTTAAATCAAATAAAACTAAAACACATTCACACAAATCTTTTTTAATCAATTGAAAGTCTAAAACATTAAAAAGTAGTTTTTTGAATTAAATGAAAATCAAATACAAAGCTTTTTGAAACAAATGAAAGTCAAACACATTCAAACGAAGCTTTTTAAATTGAATGAAAAAAATATATTCAACGAAGTTAATTGAATATAATGAAAGTAAAACACATTCAAATAGTGCTAATTAAATAAAATGAAAATCAAACACATTCAAACAAATCTTTTTGAATCAAATGAAAATCAAACACATTGAAAAGTAGCGTTTTGAATCAAATGAAAGTCAAACACATTCATACAAAGCTTTTAGAATTAAATTAAAGTCAAGCACATTCAAACAAAGCTTTTTGAATAAAATGAAAGTCTAAATTGTTGATTGCTTGAGTGTTGACTTTCCGTTGACTTTCTCTCTAGGCGATTTTCATGGCGAATCAAGCTTGCTAGGTAGGGATCTTCATCTAGCTTCTTCTTCATCATGCCTCGCAAGAAGAAATCATCAAATCCACTTCCGCAAAACAACACTCATGCTCCTTTTGATAAGATATTAGACAATCTGAGAAAATCTGGGTTTTCTTCCTCTGAACCGATTGCTGAAGAAGATGAACTGGTTACCCCTCCACCACATTTGGTGCACCCATCTAGTGGTATGATATCTAGAGGTGATCTGAGGACTCTAGAAAGATCAATCAGAGGTTCGATTGCTCAATCCCAAGCTCAATCCAATGGAACAATACCTAGGGTTTCTGCGGTTACTGTTCCATTGGTGTCTAGTCAAAATCAGAGCCCGATAATCCCTTGTGTTGCTGTTCCTGAAGCTCCTGGGGATTCTGATGGCTCGAATCATGTTTCTGAAGCCCCTTCTGAAGGGTGGAAGGATTTATTCAAGGGGAAGCTCAATGCTAAAGGTACTTCTCTGTCTTTTATTGCCCCTGAGATCAGAGATGGAAAATCGATTGCTAAGCTTAGCTCTGTTGATATTTATGAGGGTAACAAGAGATGGGGTAATGCTATTATTTTCTATGTTGTTGGTTATTCTCCTACTATTTCTGCAGTTCATAAGTTTGTAGCTGATAATTGGAGTAATATTGCTAAACCTGACATATTTTGGCATGATGAGGGTTATTTTATAATCAATCTGAAATCAATTGATGATAAGAATGCTATTTTATGTTCTGGACCTCACATGTTCTTTGGTAAACCAGCCATTGTTAAAGCTTGGTCTGATAAATTAGATTTTCATGCTGAAATATTGAGAACTGTTCCTTTATGGATTAAACTTCCCAATTTACCATTGAACTGCTGGGGTGCTGAAACTCTAAGTAGAATTGGCAGCCTTCTTGGTGTTCCAGTATGTGCTGATGAGTGTACCTCCAGACAATTGAGGGTTTCCTTTGCCAGACTTCTTGTGGAAATTGATATTACTAAGGCTCTGCCTAATTCTGTCTAGGTTGAGAGCCCTGCTGGGGAGTTAAATGAGATTAATGTGCTTTATGAGTGGACACCACCTTTTTGCAAGTAATGTGATAAGGTTGGACATGACTGTTCCAAGCCTCAGCCTGTGAGAAAGAAGCAAATAGGTGATCCAAAGGCCACTCAGACTCAGGCTAAGAAAGTTTGGGTTCCTAAGAAGACTCAAGCTCTTGCTGAGGTTACTAAGGTTCCTGCTCTTGTTAAAGAAGTTACCCCAACACTTCAGAATCACAATAATGATGAGTGGCAAATTCCAGACAAGAAATCCAAGAAGAAAGCCAATAGACAGATAAACTTTCAAGTTTCCAGTTCCAATACCTATCAACCTTTAACTTTGGACTCTAATGGTATTAAAATTGCAGATGAAACTAATGAACCTAACGGGGGTGATGGGAATCCCCCTCTAGGGTCATGATAGTTCTTTCATGGAATATTAGGGGTCTTAATGACCCTGGGAAGTGGCTGGTGTGAGGAAGCTGCTTTCAGATCAGAAGTGTGATTTTCTTTGCCTTATTGAAACTAAAGCAAAACAACATAATTTTGTTAAGATTCAGAAGAAGTTTGGAGTTGCTTGGCCTTGGTTTGCTAATTATGCTAACTCACCAGGAGGCAGAATCTGGATAGGTTGGAAAGTTGATCTTCTTAACCTAACTGTTTTGTCTTCACAAGAACAGTTAGTTCATTGTTTGCTTACTACAAAAGATCTGCAAACTCAAATCTTCATCACTTTTGTGTATGGGTTACATACTGTCCAGGATAGGCTACCTTTATGGGCTGGTCTTAGACAGCTGACTGGTTTTTCTGGAGCTTGGTTATGTGTTGGTGATTTTAACTCTATCCTTTCCTGTGAAGATAGAATTAATGGGGCTATGGTCACTAACTATGAAACCAAGGATTTTCAAAATCTTATTGATGATTTAGCTTTGTCTGAAATCAAGAGTAAGGGTTCCTTCTTCTCTTGGTGTAACAAAGCTCATAATGGTTCTAGGACTTATTCTAGGATTGATAGAGGTATTGTTAATCAGGATTGGATAGATGCCTATGGGCATGTTGAAGCTATTTATTTGCCCCCCTCTCTTTCTGATCATAATCCTGTTCTCCTTGATATCTTCCATTCTCACCTGGGCAAAGGGAGACCTTTTAGATTTCTCAATTGCTTGGCTAATCATGACGTTTTTTTGTCTGTAGTTGACTCTGCTTGGCAATGCTCTGTTACTGGTAGTGCAATGTAGAAAGTGTGGTATAAGCTCAAGCAAGTTAAGGCTGTTCTTAAAACCATGAATATAGAGAAATTTAGCAAAGTTGGTGAAAGACTTGAAGCTGCTCAAAGTACCCTCACTGATATTCAGCAGCAGATTATCAATGATGTTGATAATGTTGTCCTGCACACTCAAGAGCAAGCAGCTATTGAGAAAGTCAAATATTGGATTAATGTTCAGGAGAGTATTTATAGACAAAAATCCAAGGTTGATTGGCTTCAACTTGGCAACAGTAATAACAAGTATTTCTTTGCTGTCATGAAACAAAGGCAAAGCAGGAATAGAATTGACACTATTTTTGCTAGTGATGGTACATTATTGAAAACCCCTAATGCTATTGAAGATGAAATTACTAGTTTCTATAAGGCTCTTCTTGGTTCTTGTGCCATATCTCTGCCTGGGATTGATCTTAATACTGTGAGAAGAGGTGCACAACTGTCTAGGGGCTCTCAGCAGTCTCTTTTAGCTCCTATTTCTGTTGAGGAGATTGATTCAGCTTTGAAAGACATTGACAACTCCAAAGCCCCTGGCATAGATGGTTTTAATTCTCACTTTTTCAAGAAGTCTTGGGATGTGGTGAAAAATGATGTCTATGCTGGTGTTTTAAAGTTCTTCAATACTGGTATTATGTTGCAGTAATGGAATTGTAATACTATAACCTTAGTTCCCAAGGTTCAAAATCCTTCCTTTGCTAAAGATTTTAGACCAATTGCTTGCTGTTTTGTCTTATATAAGATCATCTCTAAAATTCTTACTGCAAGATTGGCAAAAGTGAATTCTGAGGTGATTGATGACTCTCAAACTGGTTTTATCACTGGGAAACACATTGGTGACAACATTCTCTTAGAAACTGAGCTTATTAAAGGTTATGGGCATAAGTTCCTTTCTCCTAGATGTATGTTGAAGATTGACTTGAAACAGGCTTATGATTCTGTTGAGTGGAGTTTTCTGAAGACTGTTATGTCTGAGATTGGTTTTCCTAACCAGTTTATTGCCTGGATTATGGCTTGCTTGTCTTCTGTCTCCTTCTCTATCTTGATTAATGGTATTCCTTCTAAGCCCTTTTCTGCAAAAAAGGGTTTCAGACAAGGAGATCTAATGTCTCCTTTCTTGTTTTCCATTGGAATGGAATATCTCTCTAGATGTCTCTCGGAGTTACAGTTGAATCCTAATTTCAACTATCACCCTAGATGTGAGAAAATGTACTTGACACATCTTATGTTTGCTGATGATTTGCTTCTCTTTTCTAGGGCTGATGCTCAGTCTGTCTCCTTGCTTTTCCAAGCTTTCTCTAAGTTTTCTGGAGCTTTTAGACTCTCTGCAAGCTTGGATAAAAGTGAGGTGTACTTTGGTGGTCTTGATGCTGCTGGTCAAAATGAGCTGAGAAATCTTATTGGGGTTGCTCCTGGTACTATTCCATTTAGGTATCTTGGGGTTCCCCTTTCTTCTAAAAATCTGACCATTGCTCAATGTAAACCCCTTGTGGATCAAGTGACTTCTAGGATTAATGGCTGGTCTTCTAATCATCTTTCTTATGGTGGTAGACTTCAGTTAGTGAAGAGTGTTCTGTTTGGAATACAAACTTACTAGGCTCAAATCTTTATCCTTACTAAAAAGATCCTGAGAGAAATTGAGTCAAGATTTAGGGTTTTCTTATGGACTGGGAAAGCCAACCCATATAAGAAATCCCTTGTTTCTTGGTCTCAAGTCTGTCTTCCCAAAGTTAGTGGTGGCTGGAGCCTTCTTTCTCTTCTTGAGTGGAATTGTGCTGCTATTTCTAAGTTGCTTTGGGATCTTGCTCATAAAGCTGACAACTTATGGGTGAAATGGGTTCATATCTACTATTTCAAAGGTAACTCTTGGTGGGACAAACCAGCCCCTAGGAGATGTTCTTGGGTGCTTAGTAGAATCTTGAAGTGCAGAACTATAATTGATAATATTGGTGGTTGGGATGTTGTAATGCATGGTGGTAGAATCAAGATTAAAAAAATCTATCTGAAGATCATGACTCAAGCTCCCAAAGTTCCATGGAGAAGGCTGCTTTGTAACAATGCTGCTACCCCTAAAAGCTTGTTCATTCTATGGCTTGCTATTATGAATAGATTGCTTACAAAAGATAGATTGAGCTCCTGGAATATGCAGTGTGATCATATCTGTTTTTTATGTAACATGCACCTTAAGTCAGTTCAGCATTTGTATTTTGAATGCAGATTTGCTAAGGGTATTTAGGGAAGGATCTTGGCTATCTTTGGTTACAACAGGGCTATTTTAAGCTTTGATGCTGAAAGTCATGTGGATTTCTAAAATCTGCAGGAAGGATAGAGCTAAAAATAGACTTCTGGGAATGTGTTTTGCTGAAGTTGTTTATCATATTTGGCTGCAGAGAAATTCTTTGATCTTTACAGGAAGCTGCAAATCTAGTGAAGTTGTGCTCAGGGATATTCTGTTTGTTGTTGCTTGTAGATGCCCTGTTCCTGACAGAAATTTGCTGATTATGTAATTTAGTGTTGTCTGGGTTTTGTTTTGCTGATGCTCAGACTGGTTTTGTTAGTCTATAGCAGTTGGTTTCTTAGTCTGGTCTGTGACTTGTTGTATTGCCTCTTTTGTCTAGTCCTTCTGGTTCTCAAGTTGAGTCTAGGTGGAGGTTGTTGTCTTCTGCAATTTGCAGTCTTGCTTTGAGGTGATTGTAGTTGCAGGTTTTCTTTGTCTGGTTTTCTTTGTGGCTGGCTTCAGCTTTCAGAACCCTTCCTAGAAGGTGGCTAAAGAAAGGACTTGAACTGTTGGTGGTTGTGTGGCCTGTTGTCAGGTCTTGTGGTGTTAGGTGCTTGTTATAACTTAGCTTGTGTTAGTTGTAACTTTCTCTTTTGGTAATAAAATCTTATATTTACCAAAAAAAATGCTTTTTAAATTGAATGAAAGTTGAATGCATTTAACGAAGATAATTGAATCAAATTAAAGTCAAACACATTCAAACAAAGTTTTATGAATCAAATGAAAGTCAAACCCATTCAAATAAAGCTTTTTGAATCAAATGAAAGTTAAACACATTCATACAAAGCTAATTGAATCAAATAAAAGTAAAACACATTCAAACAAAGCTTTTTTAATCAAATGAAAGTCAAACACATTCAAACGAAGCTTTTTGAATGAAATGAAAATTAAATACATTCAACTAAGCTAATTAAATCAAATGAAAGTCAAACACATTAAAACAAAGCTTTTTGAATCAAATAAAAGTCAAACACATTCAAACAATTCTTTTTGAATTAAATGAAAGTCAAATGCATTAAACGAAGCTAATTGAATTAAATGAAAGGCAAACACTTTAAAACAAATATTTTGAAGCCATCCTCATTTGATGCGATAATTTTCCTAAGGAAATTACCGAAGACCCACGCCTGTCGATCTTTAAAAGTTCGCCTGAACTTTGCTTCCGCTATGCCTGTACATCGGTGCTTCTGCTGCCTTGAACCTGTATATCGGTGCCTTTTCCAATGAACCATTATGTCGGTGCCTTTTTTCTTTGAACCTATATGCCGGTGCTTTTTGTTAATGAGCCAATGCTTAGGCGCTTTAAACTAAGTGAGACGATCTTTTATCAAGTCGATCACTTTGTGTAATCAAGCCAATTACTAAATCATGTCAAATTGCTTAGAGGGGCTAACTGGCGTACCAAGGAACCCAAAAATATGTTGCAGAAAGGTAGAACAACCTCACCAAGTTGCTGGGTGTTCTGGCGCCGCTGAAAAGCTATTAGCGCCACACAATTAGCCTTAGCGCCAGGCGGTAAGATTTGCGCCAGGCGCCAAGCCTAATTTTTGACACCAATGCTTAGGGCTTGGCGCTAGCATGGGGATTTCCTTAAATACCCCTTTCATCTTCATTTTGCTGCTTTGCTCGTCGCGAAATTGCTCGAAAAAACCTGAAAGCTTCAATTGCTCGGTTCTTGCTCGTTTCTCAACCGAATTCACTCAAATTTGTTGCAAATTAAAGCTCTCTTCATTTATTGTCCCGATCTATGTAAGTTTTCTTCAAACTCACATCAGTTTTCATGAATTTTTGGCATGTTTATTCACGAATTTCATGTAAATTTGAAATTTATAATGATTAATTTGCTTTGTTTGTCAAGTTTTATGCCATGAAATTGCTTGATTATGTTTATATATTGCCTTGGGAGTAATTTGAGACTTGTTTGACTCAATTTGGTGAAGAAATGAGCAATTTGCCATTGTTGGACCTCTTGAGGTCGTGAAGAACAATGTGACTTGTTGTTGATGTTTTTACTAGCAATTCTTGTCAAATTTGTCACAATAATCACTATAATGTTGCAAGAAATTGTGTGATTGCTTAAAAAATGTCGTATATGCTCAATTTGAATTTGTGCTCTGTTTTAGTACTACGTACTCTGTTTTTTTGCGAACATAGTATCATGCGGCTAGGCGAACCTTAGATACTATAGAACCTTAATTTATGATGATTTTGAACAATGTAGCATGGCTAGACAGCGAGGCTCGGGTTCACGGTCCCGAAATACCCGACGGGAGCATGAGCCCGTAGAGGATGACGTCACACCTTCTACTTCGCTTGGTCGACTTCCCGAGTGGGATGAGCGGACCCTGTTCTTCGCCCCCGTCCACCACATTTCTGAGAGGGTGAGATGGGGCATCACGGTCGGGAGGACGCGCTATCATTGTTGGCTGTGATGGCTTAGGCGATTTGTACAAGATGTACATCGCCAGGGATCGAGATACGAGACTCCTATGGGAGTCTTGTGGACTGTCTACCTTATTCGAGACCTCCGAGGCTATGGTTACCTCCAATGGTGGTCACCATATAGTGCGCGCTCTGGTGGAGTTCTTCTAGGACACCACCAACACTTTCCATTTCCCTTGGGGCGAGATGATGGTCACCCCTACGGACTTCAGTCTCATTACAGGATTGGATTTTAACTCTGTGCCACTGCCGTTCGACAT